TGGAACACCCCCCCCCCACTCGTCAGCTAATCGGCAAATTGTTGTCTCAGTCGGCAAAACTGGATTGGCTAAAGATAACCACTGAAGAAACCAAGTATCAAGTATCAAGTATCTATCAAGTATCTATGAAGTTCCAAGATGTGGAACAGATTTTAAGAAATGCCGAGATTTTGACTTTTCGAGGGCTGCAAAATGGATGCCGACAGGAATTTTGGGTTTTCTGATTATGCGTGTCTCAGAATGATGCAAATGCCATTCCCGGGATTCAAATTTTAAAATTTTCGTGCCTTCGGCCTCCCCCCCCCCCCAATATTTCATAAAGTGTCCGCCACTTGCACACACGGTGGCTTAAAAGGTCTTAAAACTGTTTATTCTACCGATAAATAAAGGGGTTTTTTATTGACTGGGATTTCAATAACTCGGACTGGGATTTCTAATAAAAATCCAACTGTGACTGGGATTTTGCCAAAATTTCAGGACCCTCACTATAGGCTAATGACTCGGCAAAATTACCAAACAACAGTCGGCAAAAGATCACTCACCCCCCCCCCCAACTCGAAGAGGGTTAGCGCCGCCCCTGCGTGTAAATTCATACTTACGCGCCGAATGCCGCTTCATTTAAGCATGTGCATTGACGGCATGGTCGGAATGACATATCAACAAACGCTTATTGGTTTTTGTGTTTAGTCTATCGATCTTGTTATTATTCCCCCAGTGGCGGTTTCGTTTAATGGTAATAACTTCATCGGCCAACGTATTCCTTTGTCCACTGGAAGAGTGAAAGTACTTGCCCGGTTGAGTTATATTTGAATAAATTGCGTGTCACTGAATTATCATACTGAGTTACTGACCAAATTTTCTGTATATCCATGATATGTCAATTAATGATTTCCCTTATTACGTTTTCGTAGCGCTTTGCATTGTGGTTATAGTGGTATCACTGATAAAGATAGCGGCCTCAAATGAAAATATTGAATGTTTTCGCGAATATTTTGCTGTTGGTTATCGCGCATCTGACCCTAGCTTTTTTTAAAAGTTCTTGCACGGGTCAGGACAAAAAATAAGCCATCTTGAATATCAGTGATACCACTATAACCACAATGCAAAGCGCTACGAAAACGTAATAAGGGGAATCTAGTATTCCAGCGTTCATAAGCTCTTTTCTGTCACATTGGCTCAGTTCATGCGATGTCCGTAATTCTTTACTGCTCACACCAAGTCAAATTTTCTTTCTCGATAACAAGAGATTGGTCCTTGTTCAGTTGTATATTTGTCAAAGTGGAAGCCCTTATCACATTGACCTTTGTTCTGCGCAGGGCCGTAGCTAAACGCGATAATGGGGGTGTAGTATATTCATATATTTATGTTCACATACCGTAAAAACAATCTGTGTGCAATATTTTTACGCACTATACGTACTGTAAAGCAAATTTAACTAGTTTTACTTTATGAACGATTCGCGCGCATGTAAAGTGTCGTAAGCCAATACAATCATAAATAAGGTAATTATTGGGGACTCTAGCCCCTCTTCTCGACGCTTCCGATGGCCCTGATAAAAGTATGTCTCGTTGTAAACAGATATTGTTAAAAAGTGTGAGAGGATTGGAATTTCTCTTTTAAATATTTCATTTGAGGGAGACTGCACATTTTCAAAGGAAAAGTGTAAATTATCAGTAAGCAAGAAACAATTTCCAATAGCACAAAATTAACAAATAGCAAAGAATGAAATAGCAAATGTTGTTGCTTGATATAATATTTATCATTTGTTTAGTTACCTGGACTATTAAATTCAAGATCAGAAGGGAAGAGCAGACGGTACCTATCCGTACTTCATAGTGTTGGTATCTTACTAGGCATGATCGGAATGTTAGTAATAGCTGTTACTGAAGGCAAATTAAGTAGCTAGGATTTTAATTATAATTATTAATATAAATTGAATTATTTAATGATTTAAGCAAATTCATCCACATTTGTATAATAGAGAAAGATTTTGTCAATTATAGTTATGATTTATTTATTGTTTCCGCTCAGTATTGGTTCCGCATCATTTATGCAAGAGTAGTGATTTAGAAAGAATATGTGAAGTATTACTTATTATTTATATATGTGTAACAGTGTTAAATATACTTGTATTTATATTAATAGTGATAATACGGTATAAACGAAACACAACTGCAACTGCATATCTTCCACCACTGACTGGAATGTGCCTAGTGCACCTGCTAAAGCAAAGGGCATCCGGCAATATTGAAACAAACCATAAGGAGTAATAAAGGCTGTTTGATCCCGATCCTCTGAAACAACTTCCACCTGATGGTAAACCGGAAACCATATCAATGGTGGTTAAGAATGACGCCTCGGGTAAGTGATCCAGTGCGCCTCCGTAATATTTGGTGATGGATAACTAGTTACTTGTGTTGCTTGGTTCAATTTTTTGTAATCCACAAATATTCTAACATCACCTGAGCTTTTACGCACAATTACCAAGGGACTCGCCAACTGGGAATGATATTTTTCGATGACACCATCTTCCATCGTCGCTTTTAAATCTTTCTTTACATCCTTTTTATAAGCAACGGAATCCTACGCAGGTCGTGCTTAACCGGTGGCATAAGAAACTATAAGTTTCTCCAACTCTTCTGTGTCTTTCCCTTTAGCTGCAGTGTTGGGCAAGTATATACCCAATGGATGTACCGCTTTGGTACGGTTCCCCACACTAATACTCCCAGCTACTCGTACATTGTCATCCCGAAATGGTTCGGAAACTTCCACTTCTGTAACTATACCCACTTTCTGGTTTTTAAAGAGTAACAGGGGTATCCAAAAAGTTAACTGCTTTAACCCTGCAGAAAACGCCATTCTGATAAGAACTAACCACTGCTTTTGAAAGAAGCACTACCAAATCCCCCGTGTCTTTGTGGACTCAAGTAGCCTAGTACGATTAATTTTATCTTTATATCTCATTTGTACCATGGTTTGATACCTTGTAGGTAATTGGACAGTGCAACGTGCTATAACAGGACCGATATTTTTCAATAGAACTACTTTACATTTCTTTTGAGTAACCAGGGGAGGTAACCAGGGGAACATTCATGTTAACTAGCCATAATCCATCTTGTTTAATGCTCCATGAGCTCCTTTTCAATAAAATCTGCCCCTAGTACTGATTCTGATAATTCATCCACAACTAGGAACGTCCGTGTAGTTTCCAGTACCCCAAGTTTTAGTTGGACCTCAGCCTTCCTTTTTACTAATTACTGCGATGGGTTGATAGGTGCTTGAACAGTGGTTTTACTTTGCATTCTTTTAATTTCAAACCTGGAACTGACGAATTAATAAGACTAACCTCCGCACCAGTGTCCAAAAGGAATGCAATGTTTGAGTCATTAAATATGGCTTCTGTACCTTGTAGTTATGTCTCCTACCAGCAGTATGTACAGTATTTATTGGGGTAGCATTACTTGGTGCTCTATATAGGTAATTGGTCCCATATGTGTGATCTAAGGCTGGTGTTTCAACCTTTGGCCAGCCTCTATTCCGTTTAAATTAATCATTGTTGGACAGTTCCGAGCCCAGTGTCCATGGCTATTGCATGCATACTCGGCAAACATCTGTGGTTTTGGTCTTCGTTTTCACGAGGCCCCGTTTACCCCCTCTCTGCGAAAAGCCGCATTCGCTGCAAACTTTCTGAACTAAGTAACTCTCTCAACTTCTCTTCTTTCTTCTCAACTCTACTCTCCATATCAGCTTGTGAACTATGTGGCTCTCTTACAGCTGCCACAGCCACAGGATGATTAATTGCCTCTATTAGCAATGCGTTTAACTACCGTCTCTACAGGAGGTGCCATCCTGTCGGATCAGAACTTCTCGCGATACTGGCTTAATTTAGCCCATTTATAATAAATTGACATAAGATATCTTCCTTTCGTCGTGCATTATAAAATTTTACGGCTCCTGTCTGTTCTAAATGTTTGTTCTTTTGTTCTGGATTAGCCTCAGTTGGCAAACGATCTATACAGTTGGGGGGTATGTAGGCACAACCGGAGAGCTGACAGGTATGAGTCTAATGATTCACGGTCCTTTCTCACACTACCATTAAACTAATTTTTGTATTTCAACAAAGCTAACCCCGCTTTCTTTTGTCTCACCCTTTAGATCATACACGGCCAAATATCTTCTCGCCTTCTCATTCGACCACTGATTCAACAACACGTACTGATATTTTGAGATCAGTGAGATGACCATCCACCCAAAAGCCAAAACGCACAGTGACCCACGCCCGCGATCATTGATGAACTTTAGACTTCGCTAATGTTTTCCTTCTCCCGGGCGGAATTAGTACCCGCCCCGGGCTTACGCCCGGAACGGCGCTCCACGCCGTTGGCTTGGGGATAACATAAGTAATAATATATACCGGCTATAAGTGTAATAATATGGTAGTATAAGTGTCACTCGACCCAGTCTCTTACATATGGTCGTGTTAAATAGTCTTATTTCTGGAATTAATTTTTCAACTCAACCGTATATAATACATTATTTATGATACTAGTAATATAGAATTTATATATAATTGTCATGCAGATTGTTTTTCAAAAATTAATTACAATCATATATATGATTTTGAATCCTATGTGCATGTTTTACCACTACTGAATATAGCACCACTGCGCGATATTGTTAATCATTTGCATGCAAATGGCATCAATTAATTTTATGTTCAATTTAGTTTATAATTTTAATATAAATCTTCGGAAAACAATATAAACTTTATATTTACACCTCGAGCACACAAAAGTGAACGTAACACGAACGTACAAAACCTGAGTCCGCGATAAACAACGCGGTTATTAATAAGAACACAGCTAACCCAATATAATGTTATCAATTAGAACGTTTCTAAACTGTTGAGTGCTATTTACAACACTCCCACTCACTCAATATGTCCTTGTATCAGTCCCAACTTACATCGCAGATACTCAAATTGTCCTTTGGATAGTGGCTTTGTCAAAATATCCGCTAACATTTCATTGGTTGGACAGTACTTCAGCTCAATTGTCCCATCTTGAGTTTTCTCCCGAATGAAATGATATTTTATATCAATGTGCTTCGTCCGCTTGTGTAGCACTGGGTTCCTTGACATCGCGATAGCACCTTGATTATCTTCATATATGGTCGTCGCTGTGGTACAATCCATCTGTAGATCTTTCATCAGTTGTCGCAGCCATACTGCTTCTTGGGTTGCAAAACGTAGTGCAATGTATTCGGATTCCGACGTTGAAAGAGCCACTGTTACCTGTACGTTGGTTGTTTCTTGCTTGTCCAACTGATTGCACCTCCCGATATCACAAATACGTTTCCGGACGTTGATCGTCGATCATCTGAGTCAGAAGCCCAATCTGCGTCAGAGTATCCCTCTACATTAGCATCGGTTTCTTGGTACTGCAGGCGTAGTTGAGCAGTTCCTTTCAAATACCGAAAAACGCGCTTGACCGCTGTTAGATTGCCTCGGTCGGTGATGAGTTGAATTTAGCCAATGCTGCCACTGCGTAGGCTATGTCTGGACGAGTAGCTATCGCCGCGTATATCAAACTCCCTACCATTGACTGGTACTGAACGACATACACTGGTTTGCTATATCCATCGTCCTTAACTAGTTTTACGTTAAAATCCATTGGCGTTGACACCGTTTTGCAATCTTGTAATTTGTACTTTCGCATAATCTTACCGATGTACTGTTCTTGACTGATTTGCAATACACCGTCCTTTATAGTAACACTAACTCCTAGACAGTAGTGGAGTACACCCATATCCTTCATCTTGAAGTGGTTTGCCAGACTGGTCTTGAGATCGATCATCTCTCCTTCAGTATCCGTTAAAAGTATCAGGTCATCAACATGAACAGTAACAATATAATCGTCAACTTATCCTTGAGGACACGAATGAATATACATGGATTTGCAACACTCTGAACAAATCCCAGTGATAACATAAATTCTTTGAAGACGTTATTCCAACAGCGTGGGCTTTGCTTTAGGCCATAAAGCGATTTCTTGAGGCGACACACTAGCCCTTCTTTTCCTGGTTCGACATAGCCTTCGGGCTGTTGCATATATATTTCCTCGTCCAAAGTACCGTTTAGGAATGCTGTTACTACATCCATTTGATGGATCAACATTCGTCGAGAAACACCAAAAGCCAGAAGAGCACGGATTGACGAAAAACGAACCACCTGAGAGAATGTTTCATCATAGTCAATTCCATATTTTTGCAGGAAACCTTTAGCCACCAGACGACCTTTAAATCTTTCTACCTTTTTTGTCTCATCGTACTTGACTTTGAAAACCCACTTGAAACTGATAGACTTACGTCCAGCTGGCAGTTCAACTAACTCCCAAGTCTCATTCTCTAACAAAGACTGGTATTCAGCATCTGCAGCTGCTTTCCACTGTGTTGCATGTTCACTGTCAAGAGCGTCCTTTAACGTTTCTGGCTCTTCGATTTCAGCTACATAAAGTACTGCATATTTCGCTGTAGTGATTGTAGCATACTCGTCTTATTAGTAAATTGGTGGATTTCTCTCTCGCCCTCAGCGTCGAGGATCCACTGGGAGATCTTGCTGTTCATCCACGGTTATCACATCTTTGCCCTTTAATTCCATTTCTTCTTCAGCGCATTCAGTACTGTCTTCGTCGCACTTCATTTGAACTTTTGTAGACCCGAAGTATGTTTCATTAAAGGTTATATATCTGCGAATGAAGATTCTTTGTCGATTCTCATCATATAGCCTGTATCCTTTCTGTGTAAGGCTGTAGCCGACAAATCGCATCTTGACTGCCTTTTGGTCAAGTTTCTGGCGTGAAGCATCAGGAACATGAGCGTAAGCAGTACAGCCAAAGACACGAAGATTAGACACATCTGGCTTCTTTCCATATCATCTTTCGTAAGGGGTTACCGCGGTCGCAGTCGTGATGACTCGGTTTCTTACATAGGCCGCATTGCAAACTGCTTTTGCCCAGAAAGCTTTGGACAGTCCAGCATGCAGAATCATAAAGAGAGCTGCTTCTTGAAGTGTTCGGTTCATGCGCTCAGCTACCCCATTCTGCTGGGGTGAATGTGGCACTGTAGTCTCATTGCGAATTGCTTTCTCCTTTAGAAAATCTTGGAACTCGGTGGATGTGCATTCACCACCATTGTCTGTCCGAAGTGTCTTAATCTTGCATGCCTGGTTTGTCACGGCTGCCTCCCACTCCTTGAATTTTTCCAACACTTCAGACTTATACTTCATTGGGTGAACAGTGACACATCTGGAGTAATCATCGATGAAGGTGACGAAGTACTTTGCACCTCCAAAGCTTTCAGTCTTCATCGGTCCGGCAACATCACTATGGACCAACTCTAACCTTCTCGTTGACTTAATTTCTCCCACTGGCTTAAATGGCGCTCGGTGAGCCTTTCCCTCCGCACAGGCCACGCAAAAACTTAACTTGCCCGTTCCAGGTATGTCCGTGCCTGTAATGAGTTCCTTTGAAGCCATGATTTTCATTTGACCGGCATTTAAATGCGCCATTCTTTGGTGCCATAGATCCGGTTTGGCACCAGTTTCATTAGCAATTGATACTCGGTTTCCATGTTTGCCAACTTTGCAATCAAGACGGTACATGTTCCCAACAAGTCGACCACGTACTACAACTTGTCCCTTCGAATCCTTAATCCAACAGAGGGTGTGGCAAAATTGCACCACCTTGCCTTTAGATGCTGCTGTACGTGCACTAAAAAGATTTGTAGCTAATTTTGGAACATAGAGTACCTCTGTTAGAATTTATTTCTGTTGGTCTTTCTCTTTATTTCCAAGTATCATAGTGATGTCTACTTGTCCATATCCGTACGCATTAACAGAACGACCATCACCAAGAGCAACAGGTTCTGGTTCAGAGAATTCACAATAATTTACCAATAAGTCACGATTGGCAGTCATGTGCTGCGAAGCACCGGAGTCGATTATCCAACAACTATTCCCTTCAGCTGCAATCAATCCTACTACGAATATCGTACATTACCCCCAGAATCCTCGTTCCTTTTCCCATCAGCATCTGCTGGAGTTGCTTTATGTTTGTATGAATTTCCCGGTTTATTTCGATTTTCATGCTGCCCTTTCTTTCTTTCTTTCCGGACAATTTCTGATCACATGATTCTCTTCGACGCATCCAAAGCACTTGATAGGCTTTCGACTTGTCTTTTCATGCTGTAAGGCAGTTTCACCCTTGTCGACTCGACCACCACCATCTTTGCCCTTGTATAGGCCACATTTTTCTTCTTCACTCATGAGTGCTTGATGCACTTGAGTTAGGCTAAGCTCGTCTCCTTTTGCAGTCAATGCAGTTGTTAGAGTGTTATATGATTGTGGAAGGCTGAGTAACAGGGCTACAATATGTTCATCTTCAGGAATAGGCGCCTTGATGGCTGCCAGTTGGTCAGTAATTTCTTTTATGCGGCGTAGATGATCATCGAGGGAATCACAATCTTTCATTTTCAAAGAAAATAATTTCTGCTTCAAAAACAATTTGTTTGCTACAATGTTTCTTTCAAAACGTTCCTTCAGTTTGTCCCAAATTTGCTTTGGCTCAGTAATGAGATGCACAAGATTCGAATTTATACTCGTAACAAGTAGAGCTTTGGTCTTCCTCTGAGCTTTTTCGAAAGCTGTTTGAGCCGATGAACTTGATGAACTGCTTTCTGATAAAGCCGGGCTGGTTGCCGTTCCATCAACGTGACCCCACAACTCTCTAGCTTCCAATATAACTTGCATTTGATATTTCCATACTTGCCAATTTTTAACTCCTTCTAGTTTGTCGATAAATAACTTGTCTTCTTGAGCCATTTTGAACGTTTAAATCCAGCAGAAATTTCTTTGATTAATAACACGCAGTTCAGAGAGTGTCTGGGCCCATAACCTGTTCAATTTAGTTTATAATTTTAATATAAATCTTCGGAAAACAATATAAACTTTATATTTACACCTCGAGCACACAAGAGTGAACGTAACACGATCCGAACGTACAAAACCTGAGTCCGCGATAAACAACGCGGTTATTAATAAGAACACAGCTAACCCAATATAATGTTATCAATTAAAACGTTTCTAAACTGTTGAGTGCTATTTACAACATTTTACTGGTGTCTTTGTCAGTCTGCCTGGTGGCGTTTTCTTCCTTTGTTTCACCACACAAGGCAAAATAAAAATAATTTGTCAATTACAATTTCGCTGTGAAGTTGAAATTGATACATAGTGGAATGTAATATAAAGGAAATAAAAATGTGAAATAAAACTGATTAGTTTTGTAGTATTCTCTTATCAAGAATCTTACCGCAGCTACAGAATGGTTGACTGTTACAAAGCGCCGTGTATGTGATTGAATAATTGTTACCGCTATATAATTATAGAATGGTAAGTCTTTCTAAATCACGACATGTTGACTCAAACCAAGAGTGGTTTGTTATGTGCATGTATAAATGGTTTTACTCTAGTTATTCTGGCGTTCTTTGTGGGTAATGTACTTTACTATTACTATAGAGCAGAATAAACGCGCTATAATATTATCCCCAAGCCAATTAATGGCACTAAACTCCGCTCGGCTATTTACACCCGTAGATAGGAAAGCATTAGCGAAGAATCAATAAGCTTGCCCCATTCCTCTGACATTTTTCGCGCGCCGCAATTACACAATGAAAAGCATTATTTATATTATATACATATGTATTAAGTATGTACTACATATTATTATATTATTATTATTTTTATTATTATACAAATTCTAGTCTAGAATAATATTCTTATTTTTAAAATTGTTTTTCTTATTTTAAGTAATTATTTCTTATCAAGAAATATTTCAAGAAAAAAATCTCGTTTTAAGAACAAAAATCTTAAAATAAGAAAATATAACTAGGCAAGAATATTCGAGAGAATTTTTTTCTTATTTTAAGAATAACATTTTTCCTACCTAGAATAATATTCTTATAATTAGAAAAACAATCTTGAAATAAAGTTTAATATTATTAATCGCATAGTATCAAAACCTTTCTTAAGGCAATATTAGCATGGCTAACACGAGATATGATATTGAAGAATAAACCTCATTCTATTGTATATCTTTCACATTTTTGTCAAATTTGAAGCTAACCGGCTCTATCCTAAATTGTCGCAGTTTCAACATGGCGGATATCACAATGAATACAATACGGCCAATGAATTGCTATTGAAAAATAACAATTATACCGGGTGGGGCAAAAAAAAGTACGACTGTTATAGAATTGCTGAAACTAAAAGAGCAATGACACTAAAAGAAGTTTATTGGCATTCAGCAATATCCACCTTAAATTTTGATCTATGCTATGCACATTTCCATGCCATATTGTCAAAGATACATGTATTTAAACAGGAGTAAACGTTTTTGGAACTGACGAAATTAGCTAAAAATGGCTTATTAAATATATTAAATACATACAACATGCAATAACTTGTGTTAAGACACATTATACTTTATTGTCAGTGCGTTCATGCTTGTGGTTCAAAAACAATCGTCTATATTCATCAGTAAATGCATGTCCCCCAGCACAAATGCAACGTCTTGCCCGTGAAATCATACAATCGAAAGAATTTTGGATCATTTGCTGTTTCAAGTTGCGGCATGCTGTAACAATCACTTCACGAAGCTCTCTCAAATTGTGCCTCAGAACCTGAGTTATTTGAAGCGCACATATACTTCAGGTTTCATTCAATCGGAGGTACTCTTTCGTGTCGAGATTTCTTTCAACAAAGTGTGGACCCAGAACAACTGACTTCGTCAAACCAACCCACTAATTGAAACAATAATCGCGAGAAAATGGTAACGGTTATTAAATTGGTTTTAATAGGGCCTTTTCAGCTAATTCTCGGCTGTTCAAAAAATGTTTGCTTAAGTTTAACACAAAAATATGTCTTGGTTTAAAAGTGGATTCCTGCCTTAAATGGGACGTTAATTCATGCTTGGAAGTAGTTGAATCGTTTAATAGGAAACTAAACCTGCTTAGAGCGTTTCATTTTCTACCTCTGTGAGCACGTCTGGACTTCTATTTTAAGGTTATTCTGCCATCTATAACTTATGGAATTTTAATCTGGGGATCCGTTGGGAAAACGAAATTTGACAATTTGGAAAGAATTCACATCAGGGCAGCACGACTAATCTACCTGCAGTATGCCTGGGACAAACCTTCGAAAGAAGTTCAAACTCAAACAAACTGGAGGCTACTTAATTTATAATTTAAAATTGTTAAAACTAGTCTTCAATTATTACCACAATTTATCACCTATAACGTTCCAACATATATTCACAAAGAGAGAACAAGTGTATAACTTTAGAAAAAACAACTTGTTTGAAAATCCCAAAGTTTAAAACAGATTTCATGAAAAAATCTGTCGGGTATCAAGGTGCAATCCTTTGGAACTCTCTGGAAAATAGTGATAGATCTTTAGATAGTTATATTGCATTGAAAAACAATTTTATTAAGAAACTCTAGATTACTATATATTTAACTTATTTTATTAACTATTATTTAATTAGTATACTCACGACCACTTCAGCTACGCTGTACTTAATATCGTGTTTAAATAAAAGCTTATTATTATTATTATTATTTAAACACAGTTATCTCTGTCAATATTGCATGAAAAGATACAAGACGTATATCAAAATTTAAGTTAAATCGTGAAATATACGGTGACTTATTTAAGTGTAATATCTCTTTTACTTTTTAAGTTATACCGGGTGGCCCAAAAAAAAGTACTCCTGTTTGATTCGTAATAACTTCTAAACAAGTAAAGTTTTTAAAGAGAAATAACTTGCATTAAATAAAGGAAGGACTAACTTAGATTTTGATATATTACAGTTGTATTTAACTTAAAAATTCACGGAGATATTAATGTTAAAAATGGGGAGCATATTTTGGAATGTGTCTAAAATTAGCGAAAATCGGCATATCAAATATTAACTCTAGCGTTTGTTTGCTTAATGACATATTAGGCTAACTTGTATTTCAGCGAATTATCGTTAAGGTTTGTAAGGGATATGGCGTAGATTTAGACATCTTACATGTAGTCTTAGCTCATTGTTTCCTGAAATATGAACGTTCGAAATTATGCAAGTATTTAATATTAGGTCTTTGCAAACTTAAATGTACATGAAAGACTGACCATGGAAGGCAGGCGCTTAAATTTTTCGTATTCTTAAATAGCCTAATTTTTTCATGTTTTTAATGGGTTCAAACAGACTGAGTAGATTATTTCTCGGTTAGAGCAGGATGAATATTCTTTATTGAAGGAAATAATATTGCTTTTTGCAAATACACATCACCGTATCAACGCTACTATTTTGTTACGTTTTGTTCCCAAAATGTTGCATGTCTCTGGGGAGTTGCTTAATTGTTATGTCTTATGGAGTTGTATGGTTTGATTGTGTTTCATATAATTCTCAGTTTACTCCATGAACTTACCAAGATTAAGAAACGGCAAAAGAGTTTGGGTGTTCTTAACAAGATTTCAGAACGTTGCAGAAGTTAGAAGAGCTTCACAATTCCGTTGTGACAGCATGCCCTAATTCAGAACTACGAACGATCCAATGACGATCCTTCGCGATGCAGTGATCTCATGAAATAAGGAAACGTATTCGTGCTAGGAACACACGCGAATTTCGGACGAATGAATCTTGCTTGTATTTTGTAAATATAATAATACTTTGTTTCATAATAAACAATTTGTCAAGTGTCATTTATTTACTGGTAATAGTGCATGTTTCAGTCGGGCAAATCTTGATTAATATTTGATACGCCGATTTTTGCATATTTCAGACACATCCAGAAATATCCTCCCGAATTTTAAGATTAATATCTCCGTGAATTTTTAAGTGAAATACAACTGTAATATATCAAAGTCTAAGT